AATAGACGATTATCGTAATAAAATTACATGTTATATATTTTGTGATCTCGACAGACAGAAAATAGGCAATGATAAAAGTATATCTCGCAAAACCCATCTATTAAATAAAATGCAACCCGCAAATCACGTAACGACGGCAAGTGCATTTGTCGTTGCACAATTTACGTCTCTATATCGCGGTCGTAAACGTCGCGTGACTTTTCAGAGTCGCGCATATCATTTTATCGTTCAACGGATCCAACTTTTGCATTTAACGTGTATGTTTTATACGTCAAATTTGCATACTTTGTTTGCAATGTAACCTTGCGCGATTCGGTCGAGAGACCGAAGAGCTCTTTCCAATATTCATTAAATATCCGCTAATTGCGAGAAGATTGCCGTAAATAGATATATTTTTATGAGTTTATCTTTTTGAGGTAAACTCTCATTGTTTTGATAGCGCGCTGCAACTGCGCTGCAACAAGCCGCACATTAAACGTGTTTTAATCTCTTCTCTCCTTTCGCACGATAGCAAATTTGTTCGAGAGCGTTCCGCTTGTGCGTCGGCAACTGTGCACTTAAAACGTTAAGCGACACGTCACCGGGCATTTAACGAATCTGTTAGAAATAAGCGGCGAGACATTCGGTTGTGTGAGCCGCTCGTGTGCACTATCGATCGATAAAGCAATGCGCATGCAAATCCGAACTTCTCGCACACACAGCACGTGTCACGCTTCAGATTTTCGGATTTCACGTCGGAACGCGATTCGGCTTTAATTGGACTTTCCATTAATGTCGCACGTAATAAGCAAGACGCGCGCCGTACCGCTTCCGCGTCCCGCTTGTGCGTCGTTATGCGCGCGTTCGGAACGCGTCTCAGGCGTGACAAATACCTCTCAATGACTGTGTCTGTTCCGTCGCGTGTTATGACACTCACGCGGCGACGTTATAGTTTATCCCTCGAGGAGTTGTGCACCGACTTCGAGCTCGCGTGACACAAGTATATTGAATAACGTAGCTATACGAATTTCACGTGACAGGATAGAAATTCAAGCAAAACGCGATTTTGAAGACAAATATTTTATTATTTATCTTCAAAATCGCGTCAATTTTAAAGCCATTCAACGATTAAAGAGCAATTATTATTTTTCATAAGATCAATCTTACAAAACTGTTTGTGTAAATCTCAAATTATCTTGTCAGAATCAATTTGCAAGTCAAATAGATTCTGTAACGTGGTTTGCAGTTGCAAAATACAAACTTGCATATACATAAATTCATAGCGCCCATTTGAAATTGAATAGCGTTAGTCAACGCTATTAGAGGTTGTACGACTAATTATAATATAAGTGCTAATTGTGTAGCAATATTACACGGGACTGAAATATATAGAAACAACAAGTCCCGCAGCGCGCTAAGTCATTTACAATCCTGATCAAGAAGATTGCGTTGCTTAATGTCGACGTAGTCCGGTATTATTAAGAAGCCGTATCCGGCATAACGACCGGCAACTCGAGAAGATACACACGTAATTAGTCGCGTATCTGTACGCGGAGAAGGGAAAAGCTATGTATGAAGCTCGACAGACAATGCCGCTCATTACCGGTCCGTATCGGAGCAACCGAGCCGTCGGAGACGAGGCTTCGTAACAAGATTGCAAGTGGTACAGGTTGTGTGTGATTTTCAGACTGATAACCCAATAATCCTGCGAAAAGAGATCGCCCGCCGCGCAGAAACGAAACATCGAATGCAGATTTCTACGAAATTTCTACATGTGCCATTGCGTACGTAGATATAATTATCGCGCGCGCGCGCGCTGAAATCTTCACAATTTTTTTATCCGATAATAACAATTAAAATAAAGACTGATGAGACTCTATATGGGAAAAATAAAACAAATTCTTTACGGGAAAAAAAGTTTTGCTATTATATGGTCAGCAAGAAAAATGGTTGACCCTGCGAAAGTTTTTGTTTCATTCAACAAAATGTTGTGTTGGCAAAACAAAAGTTTACTTAACAAATGGTTTTTTGCTGGCCATATAGTAACTAATTTCTTGCTATTCTAGCAAATCTTTTTTTTCCGTTTTATATCAATTTAATATTTTTATATTAATTAAATTTTAATAAATTAAAAAATTATTAAATAAATTTAATGAATTAAAAATTTTTCCTTATAAATATTTTACTTACGTAAACCATCGTTTCATTTACTGCTAGAGAGAAAGAGAGAGAGAGAGAAATAATGAAATTCCTAAAAGTTATGTAGACGTAACTTTCAAAAAGATATACATATGTATACATTATTTTGAATAAAAAAACAATAATATTTTGAAGTGACGTTTATATGAGCTATATTTTACGTATCCAAAATTATAACCACGCTAAAAAAACGCGAGCAGAGATTGGCTTGCGCGGTACTAATCGTAAATGCGCGAGCTCGAGCTGTCGGCTTTATGCGGAGCTTTATTCGGTCACTTTGTCACACTGTTCTCGGCAGGTTTCCCCTATTCGCATTGCTCGTCAACTGCACGCATAACGCTTCGTTATATATTTGAGCAACTTCTAACAAGGGCGGCACAACTGGATCGCCACTTTTCCCCCCCCCCCGCTCAGTTTCATAAATCGATGGTCGATAAATATGTGATGCGAGAACGCTTGAATGGATCAGCGATGCTCATACCTGTGTTCGACACGTGTAGTTTTAATTTGCCTCTGCTGCAAACGTGAACAAGCTCCGATAGCGGCAATAAAGTTCTCGAACTCGGTATCAATGATTGTAATTAAATTTTTAAAAATACTTGTGACTCGCGTTACATTCTACCATAAAAGTAAAAAAAAGCATCTCATAACTATTGTATATCGATGTTGTATAACTTATTTGTTTTTTAGTTTCACAATATAAATGTTTTACAATATAAATATCTGCTTAGTAAATTGTAAGTTATATTTTTTTGCTACATGATGTGCGCACACTTTGTACTTGTATAAATTTATCAAACTATTATTATATATTTTAAAGTGCAATTTTTTGATAATTCAATATTAATTGACTGAGAAAAATTAAATTCCTCATTGTTTTTTTTAACTTGATCTGTAAAATCTGTTTTTTTTTTTGACAGAGAGAAAACACACACACACACACAATGAATCTAGGACGCTTTTTTGAATCATATATCTCAATTTTTCTTTGCAGCACAGCATTGCATTTGAAATGCCAGCAACAAAACTAGAAAACCGGTCGATCCGAGAAGCTCACACCATGATGCACTCTGGTTTTTCTGACGTGAAAATCCCGCGGTTTCAAGCGCCGCCAACCGTTTTCACCTTCTGACCGTGAGGCACGTAATATTACGTCACGTACTTGTGGCATCCCGCAGTTCGAGAGAAAGAGAAAGAGAAAGAGACAGAGAGAGAGAGAGAGAAAGAGAGAGAGAGAGATTCCATCGCCCTTTCTCGATGTCGACGATATGCGTGTATTTTGCAACTCACTTCAAGACCGTGCCTTCCCTCGATCGACAATGTTTGCTATTTATTTCTTGCTCACGTACTTACATAGCACGCGCGAAACCTGGTTAGGAGTGAAAATCAGACTCATGACAGTTCCATACAGACTTGATTTATCTAATTACCTCTGATGCAGAGACTCAAGAATAAACGCGTTTTCTCAAGGCGAAGTATGTCAATGTACGCATCAATCCTCGGTTTCACGATCAAGATAAAATCTCCGCGGTTATGCAAATTAATGATGTGACATAGAAAAAAGTCTGTTCTCAAATTACAATCTCAATCCAAGGATAATTTTTACACTGACAGACGTTTACAGTTTTGTTTTAATTTTATGTTATTAATTTTTTGTTTGTTATTTAACGTTATCAATTAACGCGCGTATGTGTGTGTGTGTGTGTGTGTGTGTGTGTGTGTGTGTGTGTTATATTTATTACTCGAATAAATTATACTCTTGTTTTTAATTGTCAAGAATTCACGCACAGTATGTGTGTTCGCAAAGCGCAGCTATTTCTACAGGAAAGTATTTTCTAATCATTCTATATGTGTGTGTGTGTATATATGTATATATATATATATATACACATGTACAAAATATATTGTACATCTGTATTGAAACTACACATCATAATAGTGTTTAACTTTCACTAGAGAGATCAGGTTCGATAGGTCGGTCGGCGACTCCGCATTTCTGGAGGCCAAACCGCTTTTATGATTACCGGCCGCGACTAGTTGCTTATAAACTTAAAACATAATACCTCATAAACATTTTAAACGATCGAAATCATTAAGATGCATTTCGCAAAGAACTCACCGACTATATCTTGAAAGTAACACATACGTAACACATACACGCATTTTGTGCAAACTTCCAAACGCGATTATATACGCGAACGCAATATATTGGTATCTGATCGTCGCCGGTAAAATAATATTTCGCGGCTCTTCGCTAAGTGTCCTCCACGTGTTCTTCTTCGTGACAAATAACAACAACTTTTCATTAGTTTTTTTGCCGAGTACTCTCGACCCTGACCGCTTGGTACCATCAATAACTGGCATTGTGTGTGTGTACTACCGAAATTCCTACTCATATCGATCATTACGCGATTCGATGAGCCAACCGTGCGCGAAGAGGTCAGATCCATTCGCGTGGACATCGGCACACAGCTCGGTGAAAGGCCAGGAAGGCCTTCGCCTTCTAGCGAATATCCCAGGTGCTTTTTGTCCGGCGATCGAGAGTAAAACGCGCGCGCGAGAAACGTTACCTCGCCGATATACAAAGAAGGATCGCCATTGAGGCGACGATCCATTATCGCGAGTGCCTTGTTTCCCAAGAAGCGATTAAGCGAATGCGTTCCTGAACTAAGTACTATAAAAAAAAAAAAAAAAAAAAAAAAA